GGAAATGTGATCTTGAAAAAGTAAAATGTCATATTCTACAAGGACTTCCCGTGGACTTACGGGGACCCTGAGGAGCTGTGGCCCTGCCACCTGGCTTCTGCCCAAATGATAATCACAACAGTTCATTTTTCCACATCAACAAGACCTCAAAACCCTCCCAGAAGAGGGGCAACTTGCATTATCTGGAAACTTTTTCTACATTCCTAACACAGTCTTTAAAAATTACTATGACAAAGGTACCGGCATTTGTTTTGCTACTTTATCATCTTTCATGGAGTAAATGCTGTAAAGCTAAAGGAAATCAATATATAAACTAGATTACAATATGACTGGGACAAGCGAGTGAGGGCAATACCCCAGAGCACCGTAGTACGAACTCCTGTTGGTGTTCTTGTCTTGTTCTTGGAAGACAAAGGTGTTCCTAATAGCCTTGCTCCAGGAAATAAGTATTCCTTCAAGACCCTGCAGGGTCACTTCTCCAGACTAAGTAGTTTCAGCCCTTTTCCCCAGGTTCTAGTTTTTGGTCCTTTCATCTTCCAAGTCCCTTCATGCCTACTTGGCTGAGGGCTGATGTGATGCCCAGTTTAGAGTGGCACTGTCACCGCGGGTTCCGGACATGCCATCCTACTGCTGTTTCATGGCCGTCCAACAGTACCGCCTGGCTGGCTGCCTTTGTGCGGCCTCACGTGACTGCAGCTTCTCGTCCGCCATAGTGAATGTCTGCTCATCGTCCGTTTGCTGTGTAGGTAGCCTGTTTCTCCTCTGTTCGCCTTTTCCGTAGTCGTCTTTTTTTTAGAAAGATTTTTCTAAAGAGGGCTCCCCCCGAAAGGGTTCTTCATGCCATGATGCACTCCCAGCCTCAGCCCTCAGATCACAGGCACATGTGCACCCAGCATGCACTGCAGGGCCTCGGGACGTGACCCGGGGACCTTGCCTGAGTCCAGCCTCACTCAGGATTGTATTACCACTGCACCCCACTGGACCCCAGTGGTTGTCACATTTGGTTTATTTCTGAGTAAAATAGCCTTGATCGAGTGACTAGAGGAGAGAATTTGGGTTCTTCCCTTTCATCGCGATCGGTGACAGCGCTTCTCAGAGGAGGGGCATCAGCCGGGGAGGTGGGGTTGGGGATCCAACTTCCCCATCATTAGCTGAGACCAAATAACAGCCTGTTTCCTTGTATGTTAAATGGGAATAATAATACTAGGTAGAGGCGAAACGACAGAGAGATGACGTAAGCACCTCATTGCTGCTGAAATGCGGTATGTTTTTAAGACATGCTTATTTTTGTCGTGATGGTGTGCATATAAACGTAACACGATTTCATACGGTTTGAAAGCCTGTGTAACTAACTTAAGTTCTTGGTACAGAGATATAAAAGATACGTTCTTAGACCTTACTGGTAAATTTTATATGAAATATGACCGTCTGTTGTTCTGAGGCAGCGACAGGGAGAGCAGAACTAGGAGGGAGGGACTCGAGGCTACACGGTAGTCTCTGCATTGGAACAGCATGTCAGGGAGACCTGCTAAAGCAGGATGGAGCAGTGGGCGAAAGAAGTGCCGCGTGTTCCTGCCACCAGCTCCCACCAGTCAGGTGATGCTAGTGAAAAGCTGTTTCTCTTGGGGCCAGCAGGTGGCCTGGTGGTTAAGGTGCTGGACTTGCCACATGGTAGACTGCAGGTCAAGTCCTGGACCCAGTGGCCTGAAAAATCATACCAGGCACCTGTGCATGCTTGCCCAAAATCCTGCGAGGAGAATGGAAGCAAAGGGGTTGCTGCATGGCCATCCCCACTAGGGGGTGATTTCTCACTTTCTCACTCTGCCTCTCACCAGCAAGTGCACGCGACCTATGGCAAAAACCTAAAAGAAAAAGAAAAAAAACTGTTTCTCGTTACTTGAGCTCCTATTATCAATGTAATCTTCAGAGGCTTGAGGTTAAGCAAGTAGTGGTACATCTTTAAGATTTAAGCTCGATTTTGGTGTTAATAGAGCTCCTGTCCTCAGTGCAGTTTAGGGTGATGTTCCTGACATGTGTGCGCCCACATGTGCACTTATGCATTGGTCTGCCCTGTCTACACCTTGCTCTGAATCACAGGCCCCTTCTATGGAGTCCACCCTCTGTGTGGGATATCTTGTATCTTGTAGGGAGGCTTATTTTGGTTCTGTCCTAGGAACCCCCGGAGTCCACATCCAACACACACACACACACACTCCTCTCCAGGGTTGTGGCCATCAGTCCACCGTGTGGACACCAGGCCTCACCGTGGTGGAAGTGGAAGGTGAATACCTTTAGCCTTACATTTTGCTTTGAAGTTGAACCAGGATTAGCTGGCCCTGGAAGCTTTTTTTTTTTTTTTTTTTTACTGGTTAGCCAGGTTTCTTCTTTTTTTTGTTTTTTTTTTGGCTTTCTTTTTATTTGTTCATTTTCTACATTAATTCACTATACACCATCACAACACACAAATGAATTTTCCATCCAAAATACACTGTGCATTGGCTCAATCAAGCACATCAACATACATGTTCTCAGCAAAATAATTTTCCAATTCTTATGTCCTGCATACCTTGCCTTTTGTTTTGCCATCCCTGATTCCCCATCC